CCCCCCCCCCCCCCCCCCCACCCCCTCATCTATTTCTTCGTCTCTTTCAATTCCACTTTCTTCCTCAGTCACCTCATTGATTCCCCCAATCTCGATTCTGATTGCAATAAAAATGATTTGGATGACAAGAATTCTCAAGTATAAGCCAACAGAATAAGCCAATGCTATACATTATGAACCCAACGACATGATAACATCAATAGTCAATGTTACGAGTTATGAATCTGATGACGTGATAGTAAATTTCCAGATATAATCTTTTGTACATCAGGTAGAATCTGAAATGGGCTAGAAGTATTAAAAATAATAATAATAATAATAGTAAACATATTTTCGGTATATGTATGTAAATGGAAGATCTTATTTAAATGGAAGATAGAAACAAAAGCTAGCTAGGTTCATATTAATTTTTGTTTGTGTCAAAAAAACAAGAAAATGGTAAGTTGAAAGTTCTTTAGGCATTCAGATTTCAAATGAGGTTCATACCCCTGGACTGCACGATGCAGAAATGCAGGATTTCCTGGATCAAGGGGAAGTCTTCTCAATGTGCTTAGTGCAGCTTGTTGCAAATTGCTCCTTATGACAGACTACTGAATTGCAAGATGTAAGCAAATAAGTAGACATTATGGACACATGACACAAAAATGACGTGATCTTAGCAATATAACCATGGCAAATATATTATAGCGATGGGAGAAAGAAATGGACAAAGCCCAAATAATTGAAGTGTAGTAAGCTTTATATTTGAAACATTGCATCATAGCAAGGGTATTTTGTGCATTCAATAATTGCCCCATACTTGTATCCTATCATTACAAACGTCTCCAGTTGCAAATGAATTAATGGAATGCTATAAAATTTATCCATCAAGACGAATCCCATTTCACATCTAACCTTTCTAAAGAATTGTAGAATGGCAGCAATAGGAATTGTTATAAAAAAAAATTAAAAAATAAAAAAAAGGAGAGAGAACTAGACCAGGTCATCTACCCAGGAGCATAAACAAATTTAATGAGCCAAAAATTTGATTGTGTTTTTTTTAATAGGAAGCAAAAACCATTCATTGATCTGATGAAGTGGAATGCAAAAGAAGTTCGTATCGATTAATAATTACAAAAAACACTTCCATTGATTAGCGAGGGTAGATAAGCTATAATTACAAAAGGGAAAAGACAATTTGTGTTGTGCGCCGGAAGCGGAACGAATGTACTCACAACACCAATGAACAGTATCACACAAATAGACACCAAGATATTTACGTGGTTCGGAGAGAAGAAGTTCCCCTACATCCACGGGTAGCAATCAATCACTAAAAACAAAGTGTTACAAGTGAATACCTCACTATCACACTACAAAGTCTCTCACCAATGTGTCACCCAACAAATACAATGTGACACCCAAAACTCTCCCAAATCCCGATATCACTTGTTAGGAGTGGATCTACCGAATGGGGAGCAATCACTAATAAACCAAGTGTTACAAGTGAATACCTCACTATCACACTACAAAGACTCTCACCAATGTGTCACCTAACAAATATGATGTGACACCTAAAACTCTCCTAAATCCACCCACTTGTTAGGAATGGATATACCAATGTGTCACCCAACAAATTCGATGTGACACCCAAAACTCTCCCATCTCCACCCACTTGTTAGGAATGGATATACCAATGTGTCACCCAACAAATACGATGTGACACCCAAAACTCTCCCATCTCCCAAATCCCACTTGTTGTCAATCGATCTCCCGAATGGAGGGAGAACTCTCTCATTATATAGCATTACAAATCAAATCTCTGACTGAGACTAAATCTAATTCAAATAACCCAATCGAATCTAATTCAAATCCAAAAACCAAATCAAATCTAATCTTATGACAATTTACAACAATTTGCTCCAAGTAGTAGCTAAAAGGGATAGGATTCTATAAAATAGTTGATATTTTGGCTCTCTTCTGTGAAGATGTGGGTATTGCATTCCAACCCAAGATTCCATAAGAAAGCTTGAACATGATTAAGCTAAAAGATTTGCTAGTCCTTTTTAAATGGACAACCAATAAGTAATAAAGAAATGAGACTAAAGACATCCCCACGCCTTGGAAACTTGCCAGGCCTTTGGTCATTGGTGTTTAATTAGGTTGGACTATAAACAAGCTTCAATTAGTTTGAGTTCCAAAAATATTGAACTCAAATAGGTTGGGTTGGTCCAAGGTTTCCTGAAATTACAGTTGAGAATCAACAATGGAAATAGAAATTGTATTGATTACTTGCTGGATAAGAAAATATAGGAAATACTTAAACCAAGGTAAGTCTTTGGAAAAGAAGAAAAAACAAGGATCTTCTTTGGAGTGGGTACAATTTATAGGAAAACGGCTTCAAATAAATTAAAGAAAACAATGTAGACTTAAAATATTTAAGATTAAGAGATGCTTTTTTCATAAAAATCTTCTTTTCAGCAAATCTATAAGTCCCATGTAAAGACATTTTACGAGGATAACACGGCAGTTAAATGGAATGAATTTGTATGACATCATTTCTTAAACTAAAACTTCAGGATCTAAATTGTAATATTTGTACTTCAAGAACCCAACTCTTAATTCAACCTATCAAATCAAAAAATGCAAATATAATGAAAGTTTGGAGATGTTAAATTCTGAAGTTTAAAAGTGACAGGAAAGAGGCTCTTGTTTTCTACCTCTTTTCTTTTTTTTTTNGGGGGGGGGGGGGGGGGGGGGGGTGGAGTGAACATAAAACACTGTTATATGAAGACAGAAGCAACAAGGGAGAGAAGCTATAACAGTTTTTTGTCAGAAATTACCTCCTTATCGCCACCTTTATTCCCAAGTACCCCTTTCTTGCGTTTTTGAGGGGCATCAGCAACCTGGAAATGGAATTAAAAAGGGAAATATTTAGAGTGTTTCTACTAGAATCTAAGAAAAACAACGTCAACACCATTTTAAAAGAAGAAGATAGTATCACAAAGGAAAAGCCTTTTGGTGTCTAAGTGCCCAATGTCCAAAAGAAAAACTAAGCTTTAATTGAGATAACCTACTGGTTATGTGGATTTTTCTTGAAATATAGATTTTTTTTCAAAAGAAAAAGGTTCAAGGATGAGTTTTAAAAACATTAGAAAGAAAGTAAGGAAGAACGGACCAAGCTTGCAAAAACAAAAAGCAAAATCACAAGAAACAGATTTATTGTTGAGAGAAAAAAAAATAAAGGATAATTATAAAAAAAAAATGAAATTTCATTGAGAACACCCATAAAGAAGCATCATAAGTGACCATACTCCAAAAACGTTTTTTTTTTTTTCTTTTGAGAAACAGAGAATTTAGCGATAAACGAAATATACAAAAGGGGAGGAAATTCTCCCAAACCACCTAACAAAAAGCATCTCCACCTTGTAAAGGTATGCAAACGTTTACACCCATATAAAAGCTGTAAAAAGAACCAGTACTAGTTAACTGTTGAAGCATGTAATGGAGTTGTTGAAAACCCAACTGTTGCAGTGACTCCAAAGGGCCCAAAATAATCCCTGTTGGTAGCCAACCAGAGGGTTTTGTTCTTTTCTTTTCTTTTCTTTTCTTTTTTTTTTTTTTTTTTTTTTTCCTATGGAAGGATCCAAGGAAACGGGGGGCCAAGAAGTCAGGGATGCTTTCCAAGGGGAGGGGGGGGATCAAGGACCAACCAAAAGCCTTCATCATGAAAATCCAGCAGCCATAAGCAAAAGGTCATGAAATAAAAGAGTGGCTTTGAAATTCAGAGTTCTTCTAGAACATGACTCACCAATTAGGAGACAAAAAATCAAAAAGACGTCAGCTTTTGGGGCAGCCAACCACATGGATTCACAAATGGCCAAGTTCCCATTGGAAAAGTTTTCCAATTTCTTTGCAGCAATAAGTTTCATATACTCACAAAGAACGTTGCTGGCCAAATAATTAAACCACTAGTATGAAATGAAGGATTAACAAGCACCTCCTCCATAATGTCCCTTATGACTTCTAGAGGAGCCAAACGCATCCAAAACTATTTTCATATTTTTACAGCATATTCACACGTGCAAATACATGGTTTAGATCTTCCACCTCCTTGCAGAGCACACAGCATTAGGAGCACACAACCATAATGAAGATGTTTTGGATGAAGTAAAAGTAAATGGCATCAACCTCCCCAAAATAACCAACCAAGAGAAAAATACAATCCTCTTCAAGGTTTTAGCCTTCCAAGGCAAGGTGAAGAAAAGGGAACTAGGATTACTGGGATGGATCAACCACGGGCAAGGAGAGACCGACAAGATAATGTTAGTTGAGAATTTTGTGAAAGATTAAACTACAAGTTTGGTCCCTCAACCTTTAAGTTTGTGATATGTCTTTGAATTTTAAAAGATTATTAATAAATCCCTTGACTTTCAATTTTGTCTGATACAACCCTAAACTTTCAAAAATTGTTCAACAAGACATCGACTTGACAAAAAAGAATCACTTTTTTTACAAGAGAGAACTTTCTACACACTTCCTAAAGTTGACCAACTCAAAGACTTCTTCAACACTTAAGTTTCAAAGACCAATTTGACACGACAATGACAGTTCAAAAACTTATTAGAATGACCTATAAGACAAAATCTCAGATGTTCGAAGACCAAAACTATAATTTAACCCAATACACACACATATGTATTATTTATGTATGTATGTATGTATGTATGTATGTATGTATTATTTATTCAAAGTCATCACATATTTCTTTCTTTTTTTTTAGACCAAGGTTTATGGAAACCCTAGGTAGATTCTTTTTTTGGATAAGAGAAAGCCTAGGTAGATTCTCAAGGTGCTAAGTGGATTCTCTTACACTATTCTAGTTTTCCAATTGTCAATGTGAACAGCACCCGAGAATCTGATTGGTTTTCAATCATTAACCTGCAGCACTAAACTATTCACTTTTGGTACAATAATTCTTTGAAGTTAAATACTTTACCATCAACCAAGTAAAGAAAATAATGCACATGATCGATTTCAATCTAGCAGAAAACAAAAACAAAAACTGTGCATATAGCCAGAAAAGACTAACCTTATCGAGAATTGCAAAAACAATTTCATATAGTTGGGACAAAATCTCAGAGCTGCTTGAAGCATAGGTAAGAGCCTTTAGTGCTTGTAGTCTTCTAGCATGAACTTCAAAAGAAAATATAGTGTCAAGAGAAGCTGCAAACATTTTATTTGAGGAATCTCATTTGCTTCAATCAACAGTAAGATAATTCATTCTAGTTCAACAAGATGGACCAACAAAAGAAACAAATAAGAAGCCCTAACCCTGAGTAACACAAAAACTGTAGAAAAAAGAATTCTGCAAACCAATTGTCAGTTATGGAAAACCAAATCAGCTATAATTGTGGCCTAACCAAAGGTTGAACTATTTTCTGCTTCCTATAAAAAATGAATAACACTAAGGATGAAACAAAAGATAGTACAAATCACATAAGGATAAGATTTGTCAATGCACTGATAGAGCCACAGCTAAAAAAATTATTTAGAAAGCCCCGAAGTTAATAGGGAATCCAATAAATCACGAACCAGAAACTAGGACCCCATTGTATTTTATTTTGATAAAGAATGGTTTTCAGAGAAGTCACAAATGTATATCTACTAGAGATATTTAAGACATTTATCCTGACTCGCCACTGGATCAGGATGTAAAGAATAGCTGGCAAACACGCTATTTTAATCTAACATCGAAACCAAAGAATCGGGAAAAACATGCAAAGGAAGACGGGGGGAAATTGTCACCGCAGACTACAATAAAAGAAACAAAGCAAAAGAAACCAGCTTACATTCAACATCAGGATTAGAGGCCTCTTTTACAAGCTGATCAACTATTCTTGGTACGACATCAGCTCGAGTCACCCCCCCAACAGCATCAATATCAGCAAGAGCATCCCAATTAGGGGTCGGGATGCCACCACCTGTACTTACACCTTGTGCACCAGTATCTGATAAAATTCTGGCTAAATAATAGTACACATAACGGAGGACACTCCTATCTTCACACTGCTGATTTAACTGTCAAATATACCCGGGGATAAACATCAGCTTTTGCTTTTTCTTCGTTTAAAATTAGATAATAATGAAAAACTATTAATGGAATAAGAGACTCCAACGAGGTATCAAATTCAGAGTCAAATCTTCTGATTCCCTGCCAGTGCAATATTCACCCAACCAAGATAAAGATTTATCATTTGTGCCAGTGCAATATTCCATTGCTACTACGACTTCAGTCTTCTCCTCTTTGTGAAAGGTAAAAATTCCAAAAAAGGTCAAGAATTTTGCACGGCATATTTTACTAGGGAGACTCAATACCTTGGATTGTGTCCAAAAACATTCTTCCCTCTTCTTGCTCCTGCGTTGGTGCATGAATTGTAGGAGGCATAAAGAGGATGTGAATCATTTGATGTGAGAGTGCCAATTCGCGAACTACCTCTGGAATCCTTGCCAGAGGTATTTTGGTGTTAGTGAGGCTTGTAATAGAGATGGGTGGTCTTTGTTAGAGGAGGTGCTCCTGCATCTTCCCTTTAGGGAGAGGGGAAAGTGTTGTGGCATGCAAGTTTCTTTACTATTGTGTGGAGTATTTGGCTTGAGTGAATTGTAGGATCTTTAAGGGTGTTGAGAAATTTAGGGAGAAGGTTCAGGAGTTGCTGAGGTCTAATGCTTCTTTTTGGGCGTTGATCACTAGATCGTTCTATAAACACGACATTGGTCTTGTTCGTTTGGACTAGAGTCCTTTTCTGTAGTTAGTGTCAACATCTTCCTTTTCAGGGGCTTGTATTTAGTACGTCCTCGTATTCTTTCATTTTTCTCAAAGAAACTTTGGTTTCTTACCCAAAAAATATCATCTTCCAGCAAATTATTTTGACAGATTTAGGATTCAAACAATTGGTTATGAATGCAAGAAAAGAGAAATGTTTGGGATACCATCAGTGTCTTCACGGAAAAAGGTAACAACTAGAACAGTACGAACAAAAAACAAACAGAACTTATCTTACCAATAAACATATTCTAGACAAATATGAAGTCATAAAGATTGCTGAGTTAAAAAAAAAAAAAAAAGTTTATCGTACCATGAGAAGAGAAGGTGCCAGCGAAGGATCAACTGAATTGTAGACTGCAAGTTTTGGGAATACATGATGCACTAACTGCTTCTGGGAGCTTTTCTATAAAATTCACATAAACATAACTAAGTATAAAATGTTATCCTTCCAAATCACAACAGTAAGAATTGTCACATACTGCTCACCTGATCAGACGCAGCAGCTAGTTCATGGATACTCCTAGCCAATTGGGAATAAGAAACAGGCTGCAAAACGCATCAAGTTGAACAAAACATAAATCACTACAAGTACCAGTACTAACAGTTCAAAGAGTTTCCCTTTTGAATTCAAAATCCTACTTCCAGGTTCCGTCCCATTTCTAAATAAACAGAACCTCAGCAACAACGAAAAGAGGAAAGAGAAAAAGCCGTGAAAAATGTAGCAGCTGACCTTCTTCTTGCTCTGCCTCTGCGGCATAATGTTGGTCCTCACAGGATTCAAAGCTGCTTTAGCAGCAGAAATCGTATCATTCTGGATCTGCATCAGTGCCGCCCTCTTAGACCTCTTCTCTCCAGTTGGCTTCCCCAGTGAACTAGGCAGAACACTTGAGGAGGAACTTGAAGATGAACTCATCGTTGATGACGGGACCGTTGAAGCAGCTGTGGAGATCGATCCCGCCGAAGCCGTTGACGGGTCGGCAGTTATCAGATCCATTAGCGTCGTCCCCGACGAATCCTGATAGCACACCCAAAAAGCGAATGTTTACTAAGGAAATGAAGAAAAGGAATTGTCCAGAAAGGGAAGATCTGGTAAATTACCGCCATGATCGATGGACGAAGCTCTTCCCCCAATTCGATTGATCTTGTTCGACTCTGCTTGCTTGCTATGCTACCTGTTCTTCCACCGCTCCAATTTTCACTGATGTTCGCCGGACATCGCAAGAACAGCAGTTGACAGTTCTAATACCCTTTTCTCTTCTTTTCTTTTCTTTTCTTTTCTTTTTTTTCTTTCTTTTTTCGACATATAATTAAACCAATTAGTTGTCTTAATTTTTTTAAAAATATTGAATAAATTATACATTAAATACCACTTTTTTTTTTTAATTCATGAACCTATTAAATTAAAATTTTAAATATCATTATCAATACCAAATAGACACAAATTAAAATGACGTTTTTGGTAGCTTACTAATTTTTAAAAAAAAATTAATTCTTTGCAAATCAATGGGTTTTTCGAGAAAATAAAAACAATCGAATAACTAAAGCACCTCACCATCGGGTTAACGAGTAAAATAAGTGATTATTTTGATAGTTTAAAATTCATTAAAAGCATGAATGAAAAAGGAGATTTGTAACGGCCCAGATCCACAGCTAGTAGATATTGTCATCTTTGAGCTTTCCCCTCGAGGCTTTAGGGAAAGATTTTCTCACCCTTATAGATGGTGATTTGTTCTCCTCCCCAACTAATGTGGGACATCACAATCCAGCCCCTTTCGGGGCCCAGCGGCCTCGCTGGCACTCTTTCTTTGATGTGGGGTGGGACCGCCCCCAAATCTACCCCTCTTTGGGGCCAGTGTTCTTATCGGCACACCGCCTCGAGTCTACCCCTTTCGGGGAACAGCGAGAAAGTTGGCACATCGTCCGATGTCTGGCTCTGATACCATTTGTAACGGCCCAGATCCACCGCTGGCAAATATTGTCCTCTTTGGATGATCACCGCTAGCACATCGTCCAATGTCTGCTAGCGGTGGATATGGGCTGTTACAAGATTCATATGTATTTATGTCTTTGGAACATGAAAATTGTCAATGTAGACACCTGTTTGTCACATAAAAACTTGTGGAATGAACTAGATTATTCTCCGACTAGACTGTCTAGGCCTTTTTTATGTATTATTTTTATCTGTTTGTTATCGTTCAAGTCGAATGACGAATAAAAACTTAAAGAAAGGGTAAGGTAATACCTATACCAACAAGGTGCACCTTAATTTTCGGTAGCTCAATCATAGGAGTTCCATAGTTAAGTGCGTTTTACTTGAAGTAATTCTATGTTGGGTGACCTTTAGGATTTTTCCTGCATGCGAGCGGAGACAAAGCATGCTAGAAGAACTCGTGTTCGTATGTGGGAACAGTCTTCTACGATGTTGAGGGCATAAGGTGCCTCGTCGAGATTATGTACGGTGTTAAGATCATAAGGTGCCTTCAATCTTAAGAAGCAAAAAGTAAGTAACATGACTATGTTATAGTAGGGGATGAAGGAGACAGGACTTGGATCATGTCTCCCGAGCAATCTCAAAATTATTTTTAATGAGAGGGATGTAATGTTTAGGAAAGTGTCGTACAATCGAGTATTACGATCGCACCCCACACTCATTTACACACGAGCAATCATGCAAACTGATCGAGTGCAAGTATACACTATCACTAGTAACAAATAATAAGTTCATTTTAATAGATTCACAAGCCCACTTCTGAGGGTCATGAATGATGATTATTTCTAACACTTCTACTACCCTTCAAGTCTCCTTCCTATGAAACTAGAGTATTAAAGAGGATTTCATTGCTCCCCTTTTCTCTCGAATAAGAGAACAC